CGGCAGACATCCTCAGTGGTATAATAATTGACTGTAAGAACGAATAATATATCTCGAACTCAGCAACGATTTCAAACCAGGAATATCAATGACGCGAAGGTACCCAGCCTTTTATTTTGAAAGCATTTTGTTTATTTTGGGAGGTGAAAACCAGTAAATGTCAAGAAAGGAAGAAAACAAGAAAAAGCTATGCAGATTGGCTCTAACAATTTCAGTGGAAGAAAGCTTTTAACCCAAAGCTTGAGAATAATTGAAGTATCTACCATATCGGCTCCAAAAGAAGCAAAGGCTTCTAGTATATTCGAACAAAAAATCATATTACACAAAAATATTATTTCCACTCACCTGCACTGAAGTCATGGATTGAAGAAGTCTCATGTCTTCCTGTTAGACGACGCTCGTTATCTTTTCCCCCATTGGGATCGTAGGCCTGGATGTGCCTAAGGTGATTCCTGCTCAATTTGTCAATAGCTTTCTCAATTTCTCTGCAAAAAATACAATCAAGATACATATATACATGTATACCTTCATTATAGAAATATTCCGATTCCTTCATGAAATATTCCTGTTCGAAGTAGAGTTCTGCCAACTGGAATATTATATAACATTTTGACTAGTTTACTAACTAGTTTATGGTCTAGTCTATAGAATATCATAAAATGAGTTATTTTTTTGACGCACGATAGTCCTATGCGAGCATATCCTTATGATTCATTAGTATAATTTCATATTACAAACAAAGATGGGAATGAAATATGGTGTTTTTTCGAGTAGATGCCATTCGAAAAGAGGAGTTAAAGAAGGAAGGACCCATATAATAACGGTGTTTAATTTATAAAACCGACACGGCTCTAGTGATACTCGTATGGTTCCCAGATGTCCATACGGTTTCCTTTATGGACTTGTTTTATGACTTTCATATTTTCTGTTGGGAAAAAGTTATGTTTGTTTTATATGGCGTGTGTTGCGAGGTTTAATTTAGATGTTATTGAGTTTATGTATGCTTTTTGTGCTCGTCGTACCTCAGTTTTTCTCTTGGTCTGGTCGATACAGAATCTGTTGAAGCAACAAGCATTGTATGCTGTACACTCCTTTCAGTTTTTTTTTCATTTTCATAGCTGTTTATTTTTGGTGTACAATGAACCCAGCTTCTTAAATAAGCTGATTAGTTTGTATGATGAGTGGTCTTTCAGGTCAGATGGTAAGAGTACGGTTCTTACGATGTCTAAAAACCTGATTCAGTCCCCAGCGGGGCAGGCACAAAGTATGTGCTCTGCTGTTTCATCATTTTCAAAACAGAGGCGACACACAATTATATTCCAACAGCTTGACCCGTCTTCCGACAGTCCAAGTCTCTGCATATGATGATTCAAATGACAGTGACCGTTAAGAAGGCCTTTTAGACATTGTAATTCATCCCTACTGTAGTCCAACAACTGTTTGGTATCAAGCTTCGAAGGGTGAATAAACGCCTTGGAGTGAGCAAATCCTGCAAGATTCTGCCATCTAGGTGTTCAATCTTTGTTTGGCAAAGCCTAAAACGATGCCAATGACAGGTTCTGGTCCGATTAAGCTGCTTGCAGCACCCTCTTTTGCAAATGATTCAGCAGCCTCATTACCTTTGAGGCCAGTATGGTCAGGAAGGAATCCAGACCGGAGACAATCTGTTGAGTCTTTCTATCGTGGAGAGTCGTTTTTGGCAATTTGCTACCAATTTTGACGTTGCTCGGTAGGAGCCAAGGGCTTCCAACGCCGTTTGACTGTCCGAGGTTATTTTTATTGACTTGTGTATAAAGTTAATTTCCGCTTGAAATACAGTTGCATAGGTTTCTAGGCAGGCGTTCTAACCGCATAAAAGAACAAACGAGAAGATAAAACGTTCAGTTTAAGTAGACCCATGAAGATGATAGCACAGCCTGCTATCGAAAACGCTCGCGTATGATAAATCTAATCTTAATTCATACCAAGTTAAATTCTCAACATCCAGTGTATGAGGAAAACTGTCATTTCAATTTTGAGAGATCTTGAATTCGGCATGTACAATTGTTTTCAATTTTTTGAGTGTTTTCTACAATGATTCGGAAATGGAACAGAGGAGGTTTGCGAAAACCATCCATAGGAAGTATACTTTCATTTGAAATCCATGGTGTACTTTTTTCTTTTTTTCAAAGTATATGTAGTTGAATTTTTAATGAAAGTGAGGTGGAAACAACCTGAATTACCATTAGTATCGACATCAACATTACAACTAATAAGGTAAATAAATTAAATTAAATTTACATTGAGTGAATGTCATCTTGTTGAACTAGCGGGTTCCATGATATCTATGTAGTAATATCACAGGCATATTTGAACGATGTGAAGTCTGTTTTGTTTATAATCGATTGTTGCTATCTACCTACATTTTACTCGAAATATACTGATTTGTATGATAACAATGTCAAGTTTATAAGCGAATTTTCAGTTGAATATATTTAATATTTATTCATTGTTGATCTAATTTAGTCTGCATATTTTCCGCTTTATTGACAAATCGAATAAATCCTTATCAGAATTTTCATTCAAACGAAGTAACATTTTTCAGCAAATTTGGTAGTTTGGCCTTCTTATTTGATTAATTTTAAAGAGCTTGTTGATTTCAGAATAGTGTGATAGTGAAAACCTATGAATTTGGACAATATCCACAAGAAGTGCAAGGTTTTTCAATAATAATACTGAAAATAGAGTACTTGAACTTAACCAGGCCTGTATTTTGAACTATCTGTAGCATTTGCCACCATTACCCGATGAAACATTTCTGAAATATCAGGTTACCACCATGAACAATGGGGATTCACTGAGATATTACGGTTCAAAGTATAGATTCATAAAAACGGACAAAATTTTTGTAGCACCTATTGAAAAATATAAAATGCTATTTCCATAACAAATTATGATGACGTTAGGACCCCAAAGGAAAAAGTAATTCTCTAAAACGTTTGATTAATTTGCAGCTTCCTCATTAAATAATTAGGTAATTACTTTCGTACACATTCGATTAAACCTCATTTGTTACAATTGAAACTGAATGGCGAGGTTTCTCCCAGAAGTTTTATTTAGGGTATGAGCACAATGGATAGATATAACGGTATGAAAAGAGTGATTCGGTGCAATTGTATTGAAGTTAGTAATAATCATTTTGTAAATATTTATTCAGCTATCATTTCCACAGTTCGTGATGGAAGAATGCTCCGTAGAAATCAATACGTAATTCATCCGTAGACAAACACAAAGTAATGTAACGTTTCATAGGACATAGTTTAGCAGCGGGTTGAGTCAACCGAACACTTTCTGCGAACTTTTCTATCAAAAAGGAATAAATTCCAAATATATTTCCATGTTCTAGGCTTTCCCAAGGTTGTATGTGATGTTTGAATGTTACTTGGTTGGTGAAACGGGCGTCGAGAAGAGAGGTCGGTAGCCGGTCGGTTCGACGTGGGAGCTTTGATCCCTCACTCAATCGACCGCCGTGTTGGTCGTTGGTTCAAGCCGCAGGCTGAACGCTCGATTTTCACTAGCTATCGTCCAACTCAGAGTGTATCCGTGTTTTTTATTGCATTTTATCAGAATATTTCATAAATACTTATTACAGAGAAAAAACATGTAATTTGTAGATCACCGATATTCCACCAGGCACAAAACTAATGCTAATCTTAAAACAAATCCGGCTACAAGAACCCTAGCTCAAAGATTCCACACTTATCTTGCAGCACGATTGTTTAATACCCTGCCAACTGACATTAGATATGGAATCAATAGCACAAAATCGTTCAGGACCAAAATGAAAAACTATTTGCTTGATTCAAATAGAATGNAAAGCTGCGCATTTTTCATAAGACATGAGGATAATTTGAAAAATGCTAATTTTTTATGCAAATTATTAAATTGATAGTATCTCGGAAACTAATCGACGAAATTTTAAAAATCGAGCACTGCTGTTTAGAGGAATAATATGTCTTTAAAATTTAATACAAATCAACCCTTATTGCTATTTAAAAAAAATTAGGGGGTAGCTACCCTATGTAAGAGATGCATGTAATTTGGTTCATTAGAATGTAGAAATGTATCTCTCTTGAAAACAAAATCGACCTGTCTCAGGAATTTTGCAAGAAACATTCTGCTACAATTCTACTGAATTTATTCCAGTTAAAGGTACCACACTGTATGTGTGTATGTATGTTTGTTAATATGTTATCACGCTTTTCTCTATTTTTGCTGTCCTTTCATAAACTATTTTCTCTCAAGTATCACTACTGAACTGACAATTCTGGTAATCGGAACTATCGAGAAAGAACATATGCTTGCCGTCCCGAGTTTATTCTACTCCTTTGGTAGTTGTTTACAATTTGACGTAAAGACCCGAAAAATTATGCATCTCCTTAGAAGCTTGCATCCCAAGTCCGTTCCACAATTATACTTCCCCCGACTTCTGAGTGTGTGAATGACAGAATGATACTGGATAGAACCTGTACAGTAATCAAGAGTATTGAATATTGGGGTATTTATTTTCAAGACAACTACCCGAGCGGTCGATGAACGTAGTTTTCGTCAGTAAACGCGGTGATAACAATGTTTACGAGTTGGAAATCGTTCTTAAATCTCAATATCACGCCGGATTGGTCGAACAAATTAGTGGTCGAAATTTTTTTTTCAAACATTCGATTGAAATGCAAATTTTTCAAAGCTTAAGTGTCTAGTTTTATATAAATTTCTTGTACTTCCTGTAAAATATGAGTGATTCCCTACAGGTTATGAAGGCGAATGCATTCGTGAAAAGTATTGGGTAGTTAAATTTTTAAAACACTTTTGTTTTTTTATTATTTTTTTCTAATGATTGAGTTTTGAAGGATGAAAAAATATTTTGTTCAGTATTATCAGATTGTTTGTAACTGAGATTTGCAGATTTATCATTTTTTAATTATTCATTGAAAATTCTTTGATTTAATCAAAATATCAAACTGTTGATGAGAACAAATCACGCGCTCAACTTGTGAATTATTTAGATGATAGATAAGCATATATTTTCCCTATTCGCACTGAATGACAGTTCAAACAAAAACCGACTTAGCAACAATGTAATGATGAATATTAATGAATTTGATTTTTTGACTTTTATACTTCCATTTTCAGATTAGGATAATGGAATCTCGATTACTCAAACTGCGTCATTTTAAAACATATGTTGAGAAATCATTATTGGTTATTACATTGGAATAAGTTTGCGATTTATTTCAACTTAGTACGAGTAAATGTCCTAATCGATCGGAATTATATAATTGTATTCAAATACTTTTGCGATAAACTATCCGGCTCAATTATATCAAGAGTTTGTTTCAAGATTTTTTTTCAAAAGCACTAAATAGCACCTTCTGTCATTTTGAAAAAAAATTCTGCTGATTGAAGAAAATAGATTAGCGAAAGAATGTCGAATCCTAACCCATTTGTTCTTTGGAACGATTCACTTAGTTGAGAAGTTGACGAAAAAAAACAAGAATATCACCGAATGCTTTGTCTTTACTCTTAAGAGTAGATCCGTTTAACGTATACCGGGTGTAAATGGAACATCCAGTATAATTTTTTCACAATTATCATATTTAGGTGGGAAAATACTGCACTTCCTTTAAAAAAAATATCTAGGTGCTGTGATCACTGCTGAAATTGGGTCGCTTAAACGACCCGATGGAACATTCACGACCTCTATCTGACCCTTGATAACAACAGACCTCCCAAGAACGGCCCAAGCGAAGCTCTCTGGCTTTCAGAGACAGGCTTGTCTGGCTATCAGTGGGGTACCACAGTACCACACTGTCAGCGGCCATGGAGATCCTTTTAGATCTACTTTCTCTCCACATTTTTCTGGGGAGAGAGGCTAGATGGACTGCATACAGACTTGTGCACATTGCCAATTGCACAAATCAATTTAATGCAGAGTGTAACAGACTGTTGGTTGACACTGAAAGTCACAGTATTCTGGAAATGACCTCTGACTTTATGCCTCCAAATATCAACTACGAACTGCCTTATAGAGAACTATTCGCGAGTAGAGAGGACTGGATCTTCAGGGAGAAGGAAATATTAGGAGCAGATAGTTGTTGGTTCACATATGGATCAAAAACACCTTCTGGTTCTGGTGCAGGTGTTTTAGGACACAGACCAAGGACAGATGGTACCTTAGGGTACCTAGGCAGGTACCTAGGGTACCTACCTAAGAACTTATGCGACTGTATTTCAAGCGGAAATTTACGCTATTGAATTGTGTGCGGAGAGATTGGATAAATTCAACTTCACACACAAGTCGATGAAAATATTCTCGGACAGTCAAACGTCGTTGGAAGCTCTTGGCTCCTACCAAGCAACGTCTAAATTGGTAGCAAATTGCGAAAAACGACTCTCCTTGATAGGAAGACTTAACAAATTGTCTCTGGTCTGGATTTCTGGCCTTACTGGCCTGGAAAACAATTAAGCTGCTGACTCCCTCACAAAGTAGGGTGCTGCAAATAGCTTCATCGGACCAGAACCTGTCATTTGCATCGCCTTAGGCTTTGCCAAACAAACTTTGAACACCTGGATGGCAAGAAGATTTAAGGACTTCTGGCAGAATCTTCCAGGATTGGCTCACCCTTCGAATCTTGATACCAAACAGTTGTTGGACTACAGTAGGGATGAACTACGATATCTAACAGGCCTTCTTACAGGAAACCGCAGAGCATATACTTTGTACCTGCCCCGCTTGGGACCGAATCAGGTTCTTAGAGTTCGGCAGAGCTGTACTCTTACCATCTGACCTGAAAGACCACCCACCATACAAACTAATCGGCTTCGTTAAGAAGCTGGGTTCATTTGGCCGAGTGTTAATAGGCGTGAGGCATAATAAAACCTTGCGGGTTGCGGTGGAGAGTCGAATAGACCCACTCACTTTAGACCTAACCTAACCTGTGATCACAGAAAAATATTTGATCTTCCATGATCTATGTGAAATCAAATTAATTCTTTTGATTCCATTTGAACCACAAAAATTCCACATTGTCACCAGGAGAAACAAAAACTTATAGAGGCGAGTGGATTGCAATGGGAATTATTATTCAGAAAGGAAAGTTTGGCGGGATGTCCAAAGAAATACTCATCTCAAAGGAAAGGAAATATTTGTCAGAAAGCAATAGCTTCCCTGAGAATTATAACGATGAACAATGTCCTCAAAGCAACTGAATTGTTCAAAATATATTTCCAATTCGAATCATCTGCTCCCGGATTCTAAGATATTACCTTCTACTAGTTATAGAGTAAATTATACCGAAATGAAACCTTATATTCACACAAGTTAATGAGTAGTAGCAACTGAAGTATATCTTATAGATACTTTTTCAAGATTCACAACACTCGGAGGAACTTTAAAGCATCATCTTTTCAAAATACATTTCTGTTTATATTGATAGCCATTATTCCATGATAATATACTAAGATAGTGAAAGTCAAATAGCTTTTAACCCAAAAATTGGACTCTCCTAAAAATATACCCCTTTCAAGTCAAACTGAGATATATGTGAGATATGAATGATGAATACTCACACAATACCATTATCTTCTCTCATTCCCTTCGTAGAGAAGTTTGTGTGAGCTCCAGCTCCGTTCCAGTCTCCTTCCATGGGTTTGGGATCAAAAGTCACTATAACACCAAAATCTTCCGCCACACGATGCAGAATATATCTAGATACCCAAAGTTGGTCCCCAATTGAAATACCAAGACATGGACCAACTTGGTACTCCCACTGAAAAAATAGACAGGTATTTGCAGCAATGAAATTCAAATGATAATAATAATGATAATTGATCTTTATTTTACTAGGCGGAGATGAGCTATTGTTTCACTCAACCAAGCCTACATGATTAGATGCAACAGATGAAATTAATATAAAAATGTTTTCCAGGTACCTGTTGAAAAATGAACAAAACCGGGAAATATTCTAAAACACTGTCTCTTTTTCAAGATCACTTTATTCAGACCTTTTTTAAAATCCATATCTGAAAGATGATGAAGAAACTTGCTTTATATTTTCTTCAATATTATTATGGATATTATTATAGAAACTGTTTGGTTTTATGTTGCAGGATAGAATATTCATTCCAATTTCTGAGACTTCTATTATGTGTATCGCATCTGTATGTCAACTTCTTCAGAATATATTGAGGATGTTGTTGCATTCTGAGGCTATGAACAAAGTTAGCTAGATACAAATCTCTTCTGTTGAATATTTTCAGCCACCCAATCTGAAGTATGAACGGAGATACATGATCTCTGAATATCAAGCCAAAAATCTATCTTGTACTTGGATTCTGAACTTTTTGTATTCTTGATTGTAATGTGGATGAAAATGAATAAGACCTCGGGTAAACTGTATTATTAACTCCTTATTGATTTTCACAAAACATGAATGCAGAAAAAGTATTATTTACTCAGCCAGAGAAGCGAAACATTTGTCAAAATTGAATATTAATTTTTATACTTTTTCAGAGAGTTTCAAATTCAAAACAAACTTATGGCGTTATTCATATATTTATACAAGAATTTTCTAGAGTCTTTTCCATAATGAGTTTTTCATTATTGGATGAAAAGAGCCGCTATTCCACTGACCTAAATTTTGACCATCATTAATTGATAAGCTGGATATTTCTCTTCTGACCATGTACCGATTTCATATTTATGAACGTGCGGTTCGATCTGATATCTTTGGAGTTAAAGGTCATAGTTGTGATATAGTTCACTGTATTTCACTTCAATAAGATGATTTAAGCAACAATATACCCATAAAAACCACATTAAGTCAAAACTACATGGGAGTTAATAGATAATATAGACGTGATGTTAGGAAAACATCGCACCTTCGAGTAAATGGCGCCCAGTCATCATCTTGAAAGTTCCATCTGTCCATTCAACCCAAAATAAAGTATTCATGCATTAATTTCATTATCCCAAATTTCTATTTCTTGAGTTGACCCAAAACAGTGCAAAACAGTGGCGTATATCATATTCGCATAAGGAAATAAATTAGCATACCTACAGAAGAGAATTAGTTCAATTCAAATTATTGAAATACGTTATATATTTTTGAAAAGGCTTTTGGAGAACATAGTTTTATATCAATGTTTTTTTCGATTTTCAATATTGAAAGTGATTATATAATATACAGTTCCTCTTTCCGAAACAATACTTCATTTAATATGCCGTATCTGGTTTCAAAATGAAATGAAAATATTTTTCATTCCACAGTTGATTGACCATCTATGTGAATATATTCATATGAATATATATGAGTTTAAATTGGTGAATTATTATCAACTGCATACCTGACCAGGCATAACTTCAGCGTTGGTGCCTGAAATATTAATTCCCGCATACAAGCAACACCTATAGTGTGCTTCCACAATACTCCGAGCGTAAACTTTATTCGCACCAACACCACAATAATAAGGTCCTTGAGGTCCTGGGAATCCATTTTTGGGCCATCCTAGAGGTCGGAGGTCCATATCGAGTAACGTGTATTCCTGTTCTATGCCAAACCAAGGTTCAGTATCCTTGGCTGCCTCCATTGCCTGTAAACAACCCACCCTCTTGTTCGTATCGGCTGGTTTCCTATTGTATTTGTATGCGTCACACATAATTAATTTGTTGTTGCCTCTCAGGAAGGGATCGTTATAGATAGCAACGGGTGTTATGAATACGTCAGAATTTGATCCTTCCGCTTGTCCTGTGGAACCACCGTCGAAATTCCACACCGGAAGTTCTGAAATTAGGTAAAGGAGATTTTTTTGAAAAAGAAACTATTTTAAAATTGGAAAAGGAATATTCTTGAGAGAGATTAGATTTTTGGGAAAAAAGCTTTTTGGCTTTGGACTTCTCCATCATCAAACAAAAAATGCGTTTGTTTAATGTGTTACACTTTCCTTGAATCAGAATATCGAATTGCATACACTGGTTGGAGGCAACTTATGTGAAATCTACTGGGAATTTATATCAGCTCTGTTACATCAAATACCATCCTTCTTAAGTATATTGAGAAGGATGGTATTTGATGTAATTTAATGTAACCAACGTGAAAGTAGATGAAAATTAGCGATGATGTCAACTATTCTGAATCTTTACTCATGTATGGGGCAAATTGCAACTGAAACATTTCTGGAAGGATTGCAATGCCCCCAAACCTAATTTCCTTCATTTTTGCTACCTGGAGATAAGTCCGTAAGGACCTACTGTGTGAAACCAACAACACTAGAGAACATTTTTCTGCTTTATCACAAAATAAGAATTAATTGAAGTTCGGAAAGGAACTAAAATTAGTGTTAATGCATGCATAACCCAATATAAAGGGTGTAACTGAATAAGTGTAAAACATTTAAGGGGGTGATTCCTCATCGAAAAAAAGATAGGATCTTATGTTTTCCAAATTGCTTAATTGATAATCTGCATAAATATATTCCTGCCAATTTCCACATTTCAGAAATAAATAATAAGGACATGCCAATATGCAGGTTGTACTACGACAGCTGCTTTTCTAATGGACTTGAATGTTCCGAATAGAACTTTGATATGTAATGTAATGTAATGAAATGAAAATGAAATAGTCTACTCGATCAATTGAAATGAGAAATTGTTTCAACCAATTACCTTCATTGTATTATGTATTGTGTATTGTCATTTCCTATTTATGATTATATCAAGTAGCGCTTTTTCCATACATGAGTAATCAACACTCGGTATCATTTTTTCCTAGTTTTTTGAATGGAACATATTGTAAAGCAGACTCTTCCAGAATCAATGAGTTTTCAGAAAATATAGAGTTTGAATACTTGATTTCTATCGAAAATGCATCTAATTCTTGAAGAAAGAATGGAAAATTCGTTAAATGAGAAAGATAACCAATACTGGAAAAACAAAGTGAACATCCACCTTGAACTAAGCACAAATTAAATCTATCTTTTCGGAATGCAATTAATGCTTATCTTGTTATGAAGGAAATGTATAAGGAAATGAAGCCTGGAGATATAGCAGTTCCTCCAGGAAGGTATCAGTTGCCATTTCTCTTGTACAGTTTACGACATCATTCTCTTTCTTCCGCATTCTATTTACTCCTTGTGTGTTACAGTTTCTGTTTCTTGGAACCCTCTCTATCGAGAAATCTCGGGTCGTACATTTCCTGAATTAGAATATCGAATTGCATGCACTGGTTGAAGGCAACTTATGTAACATCTACTCAGAATTCGGATCATATCAATTACATCAAATAATCCTTGGAACATTTAACAGTTATAAGAATTCTCAACATATATGATGAACGTGGAAGCGGATGAAAATTAGCGATGATCTTGTAAACTGATCAGAATCTTCACTTAGCTACAACTGATACACTTCTGGAAAGACTACAATATCGCCAAACCCAATTTGCTCAGATTTTTGCTGTCTGGAGATACGTACGTAAGGTCCTACTGTACGAAACCAACAAAACACTAGAGAGAAGTTTTCTATTTTATCACAAATTGAATTGAAATTAGTCTTAATTTATTCGTAACCCAATATAGAAGACTATTTGTTGCCGGCAGCTTCGCCCACGTAGAATTTGGTTTGTCCTGATTACCTTTCTCGATGCTCATTTACGCTATACAAAGAACCTACCTGCATATTTCAATATTCTAGGTTCAGTAGCTTCGGCTGTACGTTAATATAGTAACGGCCAATAGCTGGTTATTTATATTTTCATTTCAAAAAAATACAGTAACTAAAAAAATTTGACACCTCCACTAAGTAATGAATAGCTTCGAGGATCGAATTATGTTACCTATAAGGAAATTCGCAAAACTAACACAACCGTCAACGACGTACGCCCTCACGCGCCTGCCTGCATTCGGGTTGCGTTCTCGACGATGTCGCTTCATTGCTTAGCCGCCTCTCAACCCCCGCGCATCGTCCCCCGTCGTCTTACACTAGACGCGACGCGTAACGGCTTACTGCGTTGCGTTAAGTTAATCTTATCGTGATAACTTTTTAAAGATTCGTCTGTATTAAATACTTTAAACGACAATTATATCAATTTTTATGAGAATTTGGCAGATATTCTGAATTGTGCATTGTAAAAAAGTATCCAATTTAATTATATTTATGGTTCAGTATTTTGCATATAGTGACTACAACATAAGAAGTAGATATATGCTATCGTGGACTTTTATTCAGAACTACTTATGGTACATTATCTGCATGTAACTCCATCGGTATAGGCAGCGCACTCCAAGATAGCTCTCAGGGAGCAAGACTTTTTCGGGCTTACTTAATACTTATCGTTATTTTATGACCAAAATTACACAAAACCTTTGTAAATTGTAGCCTATATGTCGATTTGGCGTGAAAGAGCTACAAACATACATACTTTGAACATCTTTTGTGGATTTGTGTTTTTTAAATTGGTTAAATTGGTTTTGTTACCTGTTTCTTCTAGCACAATGAACAAAAAAATCGTTATTTCTTCAATTTAACGACTTTTTCATAGTAACATCAAGAATCGGATACATTTTCGGTAAGATCTGAAAGCTTATAGTAGTCACAGTTCTGTTCTGGTATAGCCTTGTGTACAGTTTGTTCCCTTTTAAAAAACTGAGAAAAAAGTGATTAAGAGTTTTGATTACCTCTGTAGGAAAAAGCGCCACAAAGTAAATTTTTGATAATAAATAAAAATGTGAATGAATCCATTTTGTGACATAAGTCTTACCATAACTTTTGAACTACTAAAATTTCAAGACCCTGAATTCAAATTCATGTAGCAATGCATCTAACTATTTGTGGTTGTCGCATATCTGCTCAAAGCGTATCCATGACGTCTGAATAATGAGACTGAAAAATTAATATTACGAATGCCCTTGAACTGAATAAAACGGTAAAAATATTCACATGTTTGAAACCTGAGAGTTTCGATAACCATAAAACAATTTCAACTAATTTGGTGGGTCATTGGCGAAATTATTGTGCATTTCATCAGTTCGGACTTCCATTGTCTGAAACGATATAAATTGATTCGAAATCCCTGAAAGAATCTGTAAAAAATACAAAGATTAGCTGTAAAAACAATTTTATCAAACAAAAAACTGAAATTACAGTTATCACACAAAGACGATTGTGCAATCGAAACGTCGTGAAGTACCTTGGTTTGAAATCTTTTAATTTTATATTTTTGATTTTCATTTCTTGTTAATGGTTTTTAAATTTTTTCAGCTCGTGTAAATAGTTCAATTTTTTGTTTTTTTGTTTGTTGCTTGTACGTTATTTCATTGTAATTTAAGTTTTTTGCTTGATAAAATTGTTTTTTCAGCTAATCTTTTTTTTACAGATTCTTTCAGGGATTTCAAATCAATTTGTATCATATTAGACAATGGAAGTCCGAACTGATGAAATACACCACGAAACATTGTCAACCATCTCCAAACAGGCGAAATTATTATTTCAACTTCAAATTGAATGATGATATGAATCAAAAAAGTCAGCAGACAGTTGTCTGGCTAAGATTTTTGCCGCCTTAGGATAATCAAATATAATTTTGAGATCGTCTATCAGATCTTCTGACCACAATTCCTTCATGGATTACATTATGCTTCGATTGTTCGTTAGTATTTAGAATAATATTTTCTATGAAAAGTTGCTTTTTTATACTGTGATGGCCATTACGATGATGAATCGTTGTTTCCTTTTCGATTGACTTTTGAAATTTTAATGCGTGTTGAGCTCAATTGTTTGAAAAATCGCTTTGAACTTACCTTCGGGTTTCAATGGTACGAAATCCAAAGTGCGTGTTTTACACCTCACATTTTCACCCGTACCGTCAATCCAAATATACGTCGCCTGGCACTTTCCATCTGGAATGGGCAATGTCAAATAATGCTGAATAAGCGTTTTATCCAAAGCGGCGTTCGGCGAATTTTCCAACATTTTTGCCATAATGAACTGAAACATTAAAATATAAATATAAATTGATGAATGTAGCCGATACTTCGTGGTAGGAGAAATAAAACTTCCTTTGTTTTTATACTACTTGTATTTGTAACTAACGTTACTGCAGTTTCGTCCTTTGAGGACATTTTGAAACGAAGAGAATCAACTTCAAACTCATTCGATTGAAAATGTCCTTATTGGGCGAAACTGCAGTAACGTTAGTTACAAATGTGAGTGTTATAGAAATATTTTGAAATATTTGAAAATTCAACTAAAACAAACACGGACAAGTGAAATATCACCCTACACAGCAAAAAGCTATAGTTCAGAAATAGAAAAAAATTACAGTTTTAATGGTAAATCAGGGCAAGGAAAAATGTATGTTTGAAACAAGTATCACAGTAAAATAAACTGCACTATGTGTTTCGAATTAGAGAAACAGATTGATTTTTCAGACCTATCCCTTACAGACACAATCATCATAAATGTATTCAGAAAATCGAGATATGCATACATTAAAATCCCAAGTGATTCTTTCTACCCCGACAGTCATAAATTAGCACCCTACGATTCAATGTTACACAGATTATTCTCATTACCTTTAGTTGCTTACAATCTAGAAAAAGAAATTGAAATATAGTATACACATGGGACATAATAATGGTTTCAACGCAGACACAATCCAAAAGTTAATCAGAAATCAAAGCCTCAAATTTACGTACAGACTAATGTACCCCCAGATCAAACAACCTGAAATCAAGAAATTTGCAATTTAAACATATTTTGGTGAGAGAACAGGGACAGTTGAGGGATTAAAAAAAACAAAGTACCATACAGGCCACATGCCATGTTATCCAATTTCCTTTTCAATGCCAAATATGAAGTGGACAAGATGGAGAAATCTGAAGTTTATAAGATCATGTCCAGAGTGTAATAGTGTTTATATGAGACAATGTGGCCAAAATGTCTCAAAACGGTATGCTGAACATACAAGGTCCTGCAGACTACGTAAAAATGATTCGCGTTTTCAAACCACTCCTGGATTAGGTTACGTTAGGTCCAAGGTGAATGGGTCTATTCGACCCTCAACCGCAACCCGCAAGGGTTCATTGTGGCTCACACCTATTCACAGTTGATCAAATAAACCCAGCTCTGCCGAACTCTAAAAACCTGATTCGGTCCCCAGCGGGGCAAGCACAAAGTATGTGCTCTGCTGTTTAATCATTTTCCAAACAGAAACGACACACACTGTCTTCCGAATGTCTGCATCTCTGCATATGATGATGCAATGACAGTGATCTGTAAGAAGGCCTGTTAGACATCGTAGTACATCCCTACTGTAGTCCAACAAGTGTTTAGTATCAAGCTTCGAAGGGTGAATAAACGCCTTGGAGTCAGCCAATTCTGCAAGATTCTTCCAGAGGTCCATAAATCTTCTTGTGTCATCTAGGTGTTCAATGTATGTTTGGCAAAGCCTAAAGCGATGCCATTGACAGGTTCTGGTCCGATGAAACTGCTTGAGGCACCCTCATTTGCCAGGGAGTCAGCAGCCTTATTGCCTTCCAGGCCAGTATGGCCAGGAATCCAGACAATCTGTTAAGTCTTCCTATCGAGAAGAGTTGTTTTTGGCAATTTGCTGCCAATTTAGACTTTGTTCGGTAGGAACCAAGAGCTTCCAACGCCGTTTGATTGTCCGAGAATATTTTTATAGACTTGTGTATGAAGATGGATTCTTCCAATCTCTCCGCACACAATTCAATAGTGTAAATTTCCGCTAGAAATACAGTCGCATAAAATCCTAGACAGGTTAATATCTCTGTGCTAGGTCTGTGACTTAAAACACCCGCACCAGAACCGGAAGGTGTTTTTGATCCATCTGTGAAACTGCTATCTGCTCTTAATATTTCCTTCTCCCGACCATTTGTGGGAATGCAATCACAAGTTTCTGAATCTGAACGATACGGAAGTTTTGCACTATGCAAGCAAGAATTGGAAACACAGTTATTTGGAATTTTTGGAAATTCATAATGATGTGTATCGTGGATGTAACCCTGCTAGATGACCAAATCGACCTAGTATATTCGCCGGTCTTCAGATCAGCTTACCCATATTGTCAAAAGTAAACAAAATTCGGGTAATATGTTATGTCAAGGACCGTATGTTATTGCCTACAGTAGTGTAAAGATATACAGCGTGACTCACGGTCAAAGGTAGGTTAGACGTTTCTGGAAAACGCAAAGCATGATTTTTCTGAAAATTTCACCTCTCACATTTCCTTACCTGTTCTATCGATCTAGAATATTTTCAGCATTACGGCGTTGCCACTTCCATCAAAAAGTCCTAGCAACTTTATTTTTTTAAATGGAACACCCCGTATATTTATACATTTTTGGAATCGCTATGGTATTTTAATAATTTTTTGTTGATAATGTTCTATACCTATCCCTATCTGTTTTCGAGATAAAAAATAAATTGGTCCAAAACATATGGTCCAAAACATAGCCTTAATTGAAATTAAGTACCTACATCAGTACTCTCAATTCATGAAAAGTTGATATTCTGATGATAGTTTGGACAAACTCGAAAGATTCAAATAACCTCAAGAAATCGACTCCATATAATACAGGGCGTGCTAAAATTACTATTATTTCCATTGTGCATAAAAGTAGTCAAAATTTCATTTTTTCAAATGAAACCCCCTGTATATTACTTCAATATGATATATCATGTCCCTATACTTAAATCGTCAAGTTTTCTCTCGAAGTCGCTTCTTCCAGAAACATTTTTTTTTAGAATTTGGATATAGGTAGCAGTGGAATTATCAAGCTTATAGCAGTTCGGTTACTTTTATAAGTAATTAACAAAGAGTTATCGACGGTGTTTCGAATCATCTTCCAAAATGAATGCAAATATCTTATGAAATTTATGAAATTTATTATACACATGAACAAAGTGATCAAAACATTGTCAGAACGTGTAAAAAATTCAACCAAATGTATCCTGAATTAACACCAATGAACGAGAGGAAGTTTGTAAGGTTACAAAATAATTTCCTCAACTATGGCTCAAAGTTTCCAGGGAACAACTTTACCAAAAATCAGTCATTTCTAGGTAAAAAGTAAGATTTTGTGGGCTAAAACATGTGAAAGTACAGACAATAACAGAATAGAATATATGCTAACTGGTAGATATTCGCGGGTGATTTTAACTGGAATGAGTTCCTTTATATAAAAAGATGTAATTGAACTCGTCAACTGTGGGACGGAGTTGAATGAGAATCAAAATAGAAAATTCTTAGATTCGACGAAATCAATTGAAGTCGGAAAAAAATGTAAACAACACATTACTTTGGGCAGCATTCTTCTTGAAATGAAACGAACATTACTAATAAATAAACTTTGGTAGAATAAATATACAACAAAAATATAACAAAATGTTTTGAATGAAAAAAGTTCTGTTGTACGTAAGAAAATAGAGTCAAATCTCTTTCGAAAATGACATGATTCCATTTTTTTTTGTATACGAGTACGAGTACGAGTCAGTCGTGAACAGTTGTGATATAAGATGAATGATGTTATATATAGTGACGACGTCAAAGATTACATAATATACGCAATCTTCGAAAGTCCTCAGAACGAGCTCTGATTTTGATATTGGTTAAACGAGTATTGTATCATTGGAATACAGAAACCTTTTGAAGTCGGGACATCATTATTTATATTGTTTAAACAATATGTAACATTTTTATATAAACAAATAGTTTTGCGAGACTTCAATTATTTTTTTGCATGTTAATTAGTAAAACAACATTACATCAGATATTTACATAATAACTATGGCACCAACGTTGAAGTTGTTTTCGACGGATTTGATAATAATGAAACTAGAGCGTCTAAGAGAAATCGTGGATATATTGGTTATACTTTAATTGATTATTTGGAGAACATATCTTTTGAAAAAAAATAAAAAAAAAACAGCTGCTGGTTGCTTCATTTCGATTGATTTTAAATAGCTGGCAAGTTGTTGAACTTTTTATAATGTTATTTTGCTGAGTTGTTTGTTGGAGGTAATGAACTGAGTTGTATAGTGTTTTCAGAGTTATATCAAATTGACAATACATTCCTGAATGACAAAACCAGGCTGCAGCAACTAAAGTTGATTATTATAAATACTTGCTCCTTTGTTTGAAAGTAAATACACTGCGACTTTGTTTGTAAATGGTTAACAATGATTCACTTCAATCCCTGTGGAAAACCTATCTACTTACTGGTTTTTATCTTTCAGGGTCAAGTTGTCGATTCTATGTCTCTGAAAACATAAATTTTCGATAGCATTCGTTGTAAAAATATGATTATTTTCTTCACTTGGTTCTTCAACTTCGAAAGTTTCAGGTGCTTCAGGTAACTTTCTTAATATTTATGACAGATTTTGTATAAGCATTTCATTATAAAAAGCGAATGTATATAGTATTGCACTAGTGCTACTAGTGTATATAGTATTGCACCTAGTGTATAGTATATAGTATTGCACATCATGGAAGTTGTTATCTACAGCTGATTGTGCAATAATGATCCTCATCACTTTCTGTTTGATCACAATCAATATTGTTTTGGGTCAATTTTTGCAGAGACAACTAAAACACCTATTTTTATTTCTCTTTAGATGTATTCAGATGTATTTATTCTTAAACACTTTTGATTTTCCTTATACGTTTCAGTTCCATATGTATCATAGTATTATTCTCATTATATAAATATATAATGTACTAATTGATGATTTACGAAGAATTTTTCGAAAAAAGCCACGCAAAAACATAAATGTCTTACAAACATCATAAATCATTCTATGCTTCTCAAAAGTTTTCTGATATAAAAAACAAAATTTTAGAGAAGTCATCAAATTCACAGTTGTTTTTGAGGAATTCTACGGAATATCCTTTTTTGGTGAAAACTTTGTGATTTTGTTGGTGAAATCAAGATAAAATGAGATAAAACGGACAACTTCATTATTTT